AAAGCATTTAGAAGAATACCTAGGACACTATGTTTATGATTCATAGGACATGAAAAGTACAAACTACAAAGAAAAAGACTGGCAAATTTGACCATGTTAAAAAACTTTTATTCATTAAAAGATAACATTTTAAAAGGTGAGAAGGCAAGACACAGCCTTGGAAAGACATCTGCAATACACATAGTTAACAAAGAATTAATAACCAGAATATAAAAATAAATTCTGCAAATCGATAAAAATAAAAAAATGTATTTATTTATTTATTTTTAGCTGAGCCATCCTGCCACCTGTTGGCAGCTCAGTGGCAGCTCAGCTTGGGTCGGGAATTGAACCGGCGACCCTACTGCTTAGAGCTCGTACTCTTGAGCGAGCTCTTAACCAACTGAGCCACTTGGCCGGCCCCAAAATAAAAAAAAAAATCTAACTTAAAACAAGGTAAAACATAAATAGGCAAGCCATAAGTGGCCAATAATCTTATAAAAAATGTTCAACTTTACTAGTAATTGGAAAAATTCAAATTAAACACTACAGTGAATTTATGTCCATAGTCATTGGGTTAGCAATAAAAAGATTGCCAATTCCATTTGTTGGTGACCATGCAGAAAAATGGCAACTCTCTTACATGTTGGTGAGGGCATATTAGAGTAACCAATGTAGCAATATCCAGTACAGTTAAGATTTGTATACCTATAACACTGCAATTCAACTTCTACCCAAGAATGTTTTTAGCTGTATCCTTTGTAGTAGCACACACAAAAAAGTATCAAATTTAACATTCATCAACAGGAAAGTGGATAAATTGTGGTGTAGTATAATATTACAGTACAATATTATACAGCAGGGAAATATCTAAAACGAAAACAGCACAATCTACATGGATTAATCTTACAAATATAACGGTAAGTAAAAAGTTAATTGCTGAATATATACAGTACAGATGGCCCCCGACTTACCATGGTTTGACTTACAGGTTTTCATTCTTACAATGGCGCAAAAGTGATATTTTTTCCGCAGAAACTGTCTAGGCTAAGCTGTGATGTTCAGAAGGTTAGGGGTATTAAAAAATGCATTTTCAACTTCTGATGTTTTCAACTGAAAATGGGTTTATCAGGATGTAACCCCATCATAAGTCAAGGAGTATCGGTATAATATAAAGTTTAAAATCATGGTGAACAAAAGTATATATTGTTTAGGGATAGAGACATATGCATCAAAGTCTTTATCAAGTTGATGAAGGTATCCTCTACTCGTAAACTTTTATCATGAATGGATGTTGGACTTTGTCAATGCTTTTTCTACATCAATTGATACGATCATTGATTTTTCTTGTTTGGCATGTTCTTTTGGTGGATAACATGGGTTGATTTAAACTACTGAACCAACCTTGCATCCCTGTGTTAAACACTGAACGAGACCAGCTCGCTCGACCGAACGCACCTGGGAGGATTGGGTGAGAGATGAGAAACAAAGAGATAGAGACAAAAAGCTGGAAACGGGAGGTCCACTCAATGCTGCTGGCAGAGAGTGGCCTCGTTTATTATTTGTACACAGCTTTTATAGCAAAAGTAACTTTCCTTAGGTAAGGGGTTTTGGGACCTTGAGGGAGTAGCCCCCTCCTCTCAGGGAACAAACTCCTTGGAAGCAATCTTCCCAGAAGGAGACAAAACAAAGCATAGCAAGTAGAAACTGTTAACAGGATGGCCTTCCACTCTGTAATGATTAAGGTTGTCTGTGACATTGGCTGTTCTTTCTTCAGGGGCACAGTGGAGATGAGATCTACACAGCAACCTTTTCACGCTGCTCCCCAAGGCCTAAGAGCCTGTCAGCTTGCCAGCTGTCAGGCTTAACCCTTACTGCAGCTCTGGTCTGTAACTTTTAGGCTGCTCTAAAGTTGCTCACCCTAACAAGGAGGCCTGTAGCTTGCCAGCTTACAGCCTCAGTGTGCCTGGCTGATCCCAGCCGGCTCCCCACAAAACCCCACTTGACCATGGTGTATAATCCTTTTTATGTATTGCTGTATTTTATTTGCTTATATTTTGTTAAGAATTTTTGCATCTATACTCATGAGTTGATAGTGCTCTGTTGTTTTCTTTCTTTGGAAAGAAAGTCTGATTTTGGTATCAGGGTAATATTGGCCTCATAAAATAATTCGGGAAGTATTCCTTCTGCTATTTTCTGGAAGGGACTGCATAGAACTGGTGTGAATTCTTCTGGAAACATTTGGTAGAATTCTCCAGTGAAAGCATCGGGGCCTGGAGATTTCTTTTTGAGAATTAAATTATGAATTCTTTCATTCAATGTAATTCTTCAATTTCTTTAATATATTTATAGGGTTGTTCGGTATCCCATACTGTGTGGTAGTTTTGTTTTGTTTTGTTTTGTTTTTTTTAGGAATTGGTCTATTCATCTAAGTTGTCAAATTTATGTATGTAGATTTGTTAGTGGTATTCTCTTATTATTCTTTTGATGTCTGTAGTCTATACTTCCATCCATTGCTTCATTTCTAACACTGATAATTGTGTCTTCTCTGTCTTTTTTTGGTCAGTTTACTGAAGAGAAGTTGTCAATTTTGTTAATCTTTTCAAAGAACTAGCTTTTTGTTTTATTGATTTTTCTCTATTACTTTTGTTTTCATTTTTATTGATTTCAGTCCTCATCTTTATTATCTCCTTCTGCTTGTTTGGGGTTTATTTTGCTCTTTCTCTAGGTTCTTGAGTGAGGAGCTTATTGATTTAAGATGCTTCTCTTCTAAGGTATGCATTTCGTGCTATAAGTTTTGCTTTCAGCACTGTTTTAACNTTCTTAAAGTGGGAGAGCCATGTTTCTGTTGAACGCCTTCTCTGACAGAACCCTAACCAGACAGCCAGGGCTCTCCCAGATTGCCAGAACTTTACTGGGACCCATTCTACCTCCCCAAACAGATGTTGGCTGCCCCAGAGGAAAAGCTGGTCTCTTAGACTAATGATCACTACCATGTTTTATTGACTCTATGATGTTATAAATTGAAATGTACACCATCATTTTATATTCAACCAAGAAAGAAAAACAATGCTGCCAATTCAACTATGGCATGCCATCCATTTTTAAATGTGCCCTCATTTTAAAGATATTAAAATATGAAAAAATGAGACTCTTAGAATTGATAGAATACCTTTTTTTCCCCCCTTCAATTTTCCACCACTTATTAATTCTCTTCCAAGACCCACCACTGAGGGTTGGAGATTTGAGGCTGGAGACCTGCCTGCAACTGTTCAACCTGATTCATTACATACCCCAACCCAACCCATCCCCCGCTCCCAGGTCTGTGAAACGACATCTCCCCCATGACTGAACCTAGAAGTTGAAGTAACAGAGAGGTGAGAGTGAATTGCTAAGGTCAGACTCCTAGCAAATGGCTGAATCAGGATTTGAACTCAGAAATTCTGGCAGCAGTCTCACACAGTTAAACATTACTTTCTAATGTCTCCCTAAATATACTGGGTTGTCGGAAAAGTTATGATGCATTTTGCAACGAAAAACATAGAAAAAACACCTCATGACTTTCCTGACAACCCAATATTTAGACAGGGCCCCTCAAAAACAATGTTAAGAGTGGGGTAGAGATTATGATCTTATATAATTTACATTGAAGGTTGTTTCCAGAAATGGTTGTTTCAAACTCAAGGCTGTAGGGCCAGCCGAGTGCCTCAGTTGGTTAAGAGCTCGCTCAAGAGTGTGAGCTCTGAGCAACAGCAGTTCGAGTCACGGCCCGAGCTGAGCAGCCGCTGAGCTGCCAACAGGTGGCAGGATGGCTCAGCTAAAAAATAAACAAACAAACAAACAAACAAACAAACAAAAAAACAACAACTCTATACTCAAACTCAAGGCTGTATTTATTGCCTGTAAGGTTTTGAGAATGTGGTACAAACGTTCATACAGCGCCCCCCCTTGGAAAAACTGGGAAAGACACGTCTCCAAAGTCTCAATCAAGAAAAGCTGTGCTCCTTCTGGGCAGCTATTTGACTTATCTTGAAGTCACCATGAATCTTGAAACTGTGGAACTGATCATGTTTCCTTCTTTACCATGACTACTGGGAAGCTTAATTGTGTGACTCACCTCTAACAATTAGGGCTTGCACTTCATAGATTAAATGTGGTCTTTTTTTTCNTTTTTGCAGGTAGTTGATTGTGTGAGAAACAGCCCAGTTCCATGGCCAGGTCAGACAAAGGCACTGCACATGATCAGCGCAAGCTTTCCATGTTAAGATCAAATGTCAAACACTGGTATACTTGCGGCCCTGAGGGATCGGAGGAAGGGTGGGTTTGGTGTTGGAACCTGGGCGACTGACAAACGACGTCTGGTGTCTTTTGTATTGGAGAGACACTTTTGCAGACAGATGTGACGGTTTATGTGGTGCTATAAAACATTAAGAAGAAAAAAAGATTCAGTACATAGAGATAGCCCCTTGCTACACTCGACTAGCACAATAAGCACTGCATGATGTAAGCACCAGAATAACATTTAGAATTCACTCATCACAAACTTTCAGGACTAAATGACATCCAAACAAGACAAATAGGGGATGAGGTTCAGAATATATTATGTGCATGGCTGGACAAGCCTTAGATTGCGTAGACTTGCCCAATGACCAAAATGTTGCTACAGCAAGCAATTCCCATGCTACTCTTTTATAGTGTTCACACTTTCTGTCGAAATGCCCTCTTTCATATTCTTTCACAGTCATACATAAGTACACTTAGTGTGTGTATGTGCGTGCACACATACACACACACTGAAGAGTCCTTCCTAGAGAAATCTCATTTAATGCCTTCGAAGTTTGCTCTGTTCGCCCAGGATGAAGACACTAAGGATGACCCATGGAGCAAGGTTCCTCGAAGGACTGTTTCAAGCAAGAGGAGTTTGGATGACGGAGATTGAAGGTAGAAGCAGGCGGCCACAGAGGGCGCCGCATTCTCACTGGGGAGAAAGCAGTGCGGCAGGGATTGAGAAAGTGAAGCAGAGGCTTCTAAAGGGAGTGAGAAACATGGACTCACCTACATCATAGGCTCGGAAAGACCCAATCTATTGGGCAACCTGAAGCAATCCAAAATGTTAAAGGCAAAGATGGACATTTTTAGGTATATTCAGACAAAATGGCACACTCCTTGATAAGAGGCCATGTTAACAGAGGACAAAAAAGAAAATAAAAAGCTCCTCCTTGTTTGCTTTATTTTTTTCCCACCATTGATATGTTTTTTAAACTGGAAAGGGTAACAAAAGCATCTTATGAGAATAAGGGCCCTGGTGAAGAAGAGAGATGCTTCTCTCTTCTTCCTGGGTCTCCTTTCTCAACCAGTTCAAGTTTCCACACCCTAGTAAGTGACATCCCAGGGCGCCTAACTAACAGAAATACCTTTAGAAAGTCTGGTCTTTGGGAATTCACTGACAGGGAGAAAAATGCTGGAGACAAATAATACTGTCATTTTAAAAAAATGGCAATAAAGAATTACAAACCAGGACCCCTGACTTTAAGCCTTAGCAAATCCAAGTTTATTCAAGAAATGGTTTGTGTATTTAGAAAATACTGTGGTGAGGGATAAGGGTTGGAAAGGATTTGTGAGGAGAAATTATTTCAAATGAACTTAACTTCCCTTTTGCTTAGGCAGGGGTCAACACACACTAACCCATAGGCCATGCCTGGTCTGCAGCCTGTTTTAGTAAATCAAGTTTAAGGAGCCCAGCCCATGTCTATTCATTTATATATTGTCTGTGGCTGCTCTCACGCTACCACAGTAGGTTTGAGTAATTGCGAAAGAGTCTGTGTGACCCATAAAGGCAAATGCAATTTACTGTCTGACCCTTTACAGAAAGCTTGCTGATCTTTGAGTTAGAAAATACCAGGGTATCATGTATTCTTGATTTCCATAAGGCACTTATCAAAGTTTGTCATGTAAATACACTAGAGAGACCTGAGTGGGAAGTCGCGTACCAGGCAGACTTTCCCTGGAATTGAGTCTCCAGGGACTTGTCACAGGGTGCTATTCTTGGCCAAGTCCTGGATCCTACTGTTGACAGTGACCATGACAAAGACAGAAGTGACATGCTTGCCAGTTGTATAGAAATCTATAAAGTTGTAAATATGGGAGATGACTCAAGACCCAAAATGACCGAATCAAGCTAGACTGTGGGGTTGAAACCAAAATGATAGCAAGGTGAAAATACAAGTTACATTTATGTAAAAAAAATAAATAAATAAATAAAAATCAAGTGTGCATATATTGTATCATAGAAGCCTGTTTTTTTTGCAGTTCACGTGAAAAAGAGATAAGCGTTTAACTGACCCAGAGCCAGCAATGTGATGTGATTGATCAGAAAACCACAGAAGGCCTTGAACAAGATGGCAGACTAGAAAAGATCCAGGTCCCCAAAGACACATTAAATACACAACTNTGGCCCAGGATATGGCCTGCCTTGGTAAATGTCCCATGAGCACTTGAAAAAAATATGTTTATTGGAATTGTTTCTTCACTGCATGGAATGGTCTATAAAAGTCAATTAAATCCTACTGGTTGATGACGTTGTTGAATTCTTCTATATCCTTGCTGATTTTGACACTTAGGTTGGGAAAGGGGGAAATGATGCTTTGTTAATGCTGGGTGGGTGTGGCAGTTTAGAGTCCCCACTAGACTTCCACTGAGACCACGCTGGCTGGGAGGGGAAGGGGTACTCTTTACTGCCCCCCACATGGCCTCCAGTGATTACTGCAAGGAGATGGGTCAGTGGTGAGAATCCTGGATCTCCACAAGACCTTCTCTGATACCTACCACCCTGATGGGAAGAGGAAGTGGTGCCTCATTACTACCAGGTGGGCAATGGACGTCCAGGTCCCTAAGAGGCTTCAGTGACAACCGTGGGAGAAAGTCCTCGTTAATACTGAGTGGCGATGCAAGTCTCGCTCTCCACAAGAATTTCTCTGACACTATCCCAGCAGGGAGGAAAGGGGAACATTATTATAGCCACTAAACGGTAGAAGATTCACTGTCAGGGTTAGGGATAAGGGCGGGGCCACAGTTTGATTCATGGTATTTGGCTAAAGTCAGTCAGTTACTGTCTAAAAGTTCTCTGGCTTGTGAGGCCGCCCCTTTCCTAGTTCTTTAGCTAGAGAGAGCGGGCTTTTTGTTGATGCTTTTGTTGTCTGTACCGTTAGCGTTTTGGGGGTTGTAGCTTCACCAGCATCCAGTTCAGGATATTTGCGGCAACAAGGAAACCCAGGTTCTCACGTCCCCAGCTGGTCCGCCTTCTTCCTTCCACTGCTCAGTCTTCTTATGCTTCCTTTACAGACAATTTCTAGGATTTTTCTCCCTTAGTGGGAGAAGTAGGGAAAAGCGCATCGCCTCCATTTTGTCTGAAATTGTAACTATTACTTTGATATCTTCCAGTGTGTCTAAAATATGTAAAAATCACTTTTTTTAATCGCTTTTTAATGTTATCATCATCACTAGATGATGCTAGCGAAAGTTAAGCTGCTCTTTAAGGTTTTGAGGGCACAGGGCCCACTCTCCGCCTCCCCACTTTCCCAGACAGGACTGCCTTCCTTTTCCTGCTCAGCCTTGCCCTCTTCTCCATGTATCCCACTCCCATGAACCCCAAGAAAGGAAAAACTTGAACTAGCTCCTGTTGAGAACAGGGCTAGGTGGGAGAGAGACGCCAACGGCAAATCACGTTGCATTCAGAATTGAGTGATGAAAAAAGGGGTCATGAAAGGGGGGTTTGATATTTTTAAAAGGGAGGTCATTAGAGGGTTTTTATATTTAAACTATTCAACAGTTTGTACAGTAGTATGTGAAGGCCTCTGCTCCCATGAGTCATCTTGCATAGAGGATTCAGAGACGAGACCATTTACCAATCCACGTGGATGTGTTTCCACGTTTTAGCAACCTGGAGAGTCACACTGGCACACGTCAGCTAGCTATCCGCCTTCCCTATCACTACTCAATATTTTTCTTCTGCAAACAGCAGGTAGTCAAAACACAAAGATGATAAAAGTGGTTTAAAATATGTCTAATGACAAGCAGTGGAGAATCAGAGTCATGAAATAAAAAATATCAGATACTTTTTATCCTTCATATTGCTAAAGATCATCAAGAACCATGAACAATTACATGAATTAATTCCCTTTGAGAGATGCCAGTGATATCATGTGGTCACAGTTAAATGGAACTCTACAATCTCTTCAAATATTTCAGTTCCCTAGAGTATACACTCATGTTATAAATGGATGCACTGAAATTTCAAGAGCATGATCCCAGTTGGATATATCCAAAAATCACTATGCATTTAGCAATGCTGAGATCCGGGGAGACTTGGCCATCTGATATTTCAGAGCAGGAAGCAGCTGGAAAAATCATTAACAGCTATGGGAAAAACTGAAATTACATTTCTAAAAGCTAAGAATAACCTACATAAAAATGACACTA